TTTTTAAACAGAAGGAGTATTTGACAAAATCTGGCTCTGTGCACGTCTTACATGCTCCAGACTGTCAGTGTGTTTCCCTCTATATCAAAATGGAAAAGTAAAGTAGTGTATTATAGCAATTCTAAAACTAAGTGTCATTGGCAGTCTTTTGCAGGAAAACTGAATAAAGAGTACAAAGCACATTCCAATCCATGCCATCCAAGTGCTTTAGCATTTGCCGTCCATAATAATCTGCTGGTACAAGCACATGCTTCTTCCTCTGAAAAAAAATACTAGGTTTGTAATAGTAACTGTTAAAAGAGCTAGGCAACAAAGAATGCAATTCTGCTCTTCACATAAATTTAGTTTAAATCTACTTACTTTCCTCAGTACCAAGGACCGGACCTTCAATTTCATTATCCAGATTCACATACATGAGATCGTAGTCACCGTCTTCATCCAGAACAGAAACAGAAGCCCTGAAAACACAGAACAGTGTAAGCAGAGAAAGTATTTCTTGGGGCAGCATTCTCTAGCTGCTTCCTGAAAATAGCTGGGCTGTCTGGAGCTGATGTCTCTGTCAGACTTCAGCAGAGACAAGACTGCGAGCGAGACGCAGCGAGCCCCTAATAAACGCTCTGCGCGCCTCAGCTTGAATGAATGAGCAATGCTAGTGCCAGTGTTGTAATAAGAGCACTTCTGGCTGTTGGTTTTGGCCGAGGGGAGAAGGGGGCGTGCAGCTTGCTCAATCCCAGCCTTCCAGCTTCGCGCGGGGGGCAGATGTACTGACTCACGCAGAGGAAGAAACGGGGAGAGCTGCTCTTGCGAGCTGCCGCGTCCCCGCCGAGAGCAGATTGCTGTAACGTGCAGCGATGCGAGGGTGAGCGCGGCGGATGAAATCCCTTGGGAGTTTGCTGCCTACAAGCACTGGCTGCATCGGTTGTGTTATTTTGTGTTATTTGTGGAAAGGAAAGTGTTCTCTGCAAGCTGATCTTGTAGTTGGTATGTGCCAGGGCTCTGGAGGGGATTGGTAGAAAAATAAACATACCTGGAGTTGGTTTGGATACAAGTCTATGGCTTAGCCTAAATATTGTAGCTTTTTTTTTTTCCCGTAGTTATTTATAAAAACTTCTATTATATACTAACAGTTTACTGCTTTAAGCAATGAAAGGGAACGTATAAAGCAGCTTGTTGGAGTTTTGCTTTTCTAGACCTAATTACCAATAACAACATCGTAACTATGTGGAGAATACATCCCTGCTAGTATCCTCCATCGGGAGCATGTAGATTAGCAGCTTGCATGATTAGAGTTTTTTCTGTTAACTTTGGGAAAAAAACAACACAAGGCACTCTTGGGTTAGAGATTAATCTAGTGCTAAGTAGTATTGTTATTGGTGTTAATCTGTTTTAAGTTCTGGAGAGCTTATCAGTTCAATGGGCTGTTTATTTCTGAGATGCATTGCTTAGGTGAGATATGGGGTAATATGGTACGAATATATATAGTCTATGAAATATTCAGAGAATAGCAAAAACTCCCCTACATAATTGCATCTAACTTGCAATCTGTGTTCCCCTTCCATTTGAGTCTCTGGTTTAACCCCTTGTTGCTGTATACGGGAGTGTGTAAAGCCGCAGAAGGCTCGGGAGAGCCCGGTGCTGCTGCACCAGACGCCTCCCAGTACCCAGCCTTGCTTGTGCAAACCTGAGCTACCTGTGTGTTGGGCTGCTGGCCACGGCACTGTGCTATTCCTGCGTACCAACGTGTCTCACTGTTTCACCTTATGCTTATATGGGGTTCCTGCCACTCTGGGACCTCCAGCTGCTCTCCTGCAAATACAAATAATAAATAGTAACATGGAGACAACACATCAGAAACCTCAGAAGTAGAGGTGAGCATTTTTCAGGGAGGTATGTGCCTGACTTCAGTCTTCCCCGGGAAAAAAAATTGGTCTTGGTGCATGGACTTTTGTCTTTGAATACTCAATTTGGAGGAAGTGTCAAAACACTGCTGTATAGCTTTGAGAGCTCCTTCTGTCCATGTTACATTTGCGGTGTGCTACTAGGCTCGTTATTTTTTTAACAAGCTCTCTGTGCTGCAGGGTTGGGCAGAGCAGAGACTGAGCGCAAGGCAACCTTTGCTGCTCGTTGTGTGTGCGGGGAGAACAGCCAAAGCGCGCCCGGGGCAGCCGGCGCGGGCTGGCACCATCACAGCACGCGGTTGTGGTTGCTCCGGCCGTACGTGCCTCCTCCCCGCCTGACTCGCAGCCAGCGGTCAAAGCCATCGAGCGTCCCCAACTGTACGTTGGTTTCTGCCTCAATTGCATAATCCCCAGTGTGTGGTCTGCTTGGAAAGTCTGAGAAAATCTCATCTGGAAAAAGTATCAGGGGTAAGGGTGGTAGGGGAAGGAAGAGGGGAAAAAAGGTAATTAAGGAGTTGAGTATGTTTTTCCATTCCCAGACAACAAACATACTTTTCAGGCTCTTAGTTTAGACTGAGACAGATGAAGCAAGATGGAAAAAGGTAAGTTGCTTGGGAATGGGCACAATATCCCCTGTGATGGCCCAAGCTCTGAGAATCCAAAGGTTGGTGAGCTGCATGTGCGGAAATCCCTTAGAAACTGAAAAGGTGTGACAAACAAATGGCAGGTTGTACTCGGAGCTAATTCGAAACATGAAAGCACAAGCAAATAGTGAATTGGGTTGTGCTTCATGACCTTTCTTAAGTTATATGAAGAACAGACGCAAACTGTGATGTCTGCTTGGATTGTTTACAATCTTGTATACACAGGTTACTCAGTTAAAAGCAATTCCATGTCAGTGAGATAATTTAAATATCACTCCAAAGCGATGGGGTTGCTTCTAATTTGCCTTTGATTTTGATTTCTCTCGGTTAGAGACACGGTAGACACGGTATGTTTGCTGGAGGAAACTGCCCAAATTTGTGTTTGTACAAAGTATTTTTCTTCAGAGAAGTTTCATGGCTGCGATCCATCATGTTGCATCATGTCAAATTGCATCGCTCCTCTAATACATCCAATACTTTAAATACTTGTTTTCTCAGATTGAATAATTAGTCTTACTTTCCAGATATCTTCCTATCCTGTGACATCCCAGTTTAGGCAATAGCATGTCTCAGGTTATTGGCTGTCTTTCTGTGTTTAAAGCTGCTACTTTTGGTTCATCTCTCTACCCTTTTACAGCTGAGATTAATTTTGCCTGTCCAGGAACATGGGGATTTCATCTTTTGCAATTGTTACCATTGCTGAAATTTGACTGGAGCTTAAGGGCTCTGTTCCATATGGGCATAAAACTTCCAGTGGAAACTAAACCGGTACAAGTGCAAAGAAAGGGCTTATTCCTCTAAGCACTAAATTATCTGGAGAAGAAATAATTTTTAGTGTATTCGGTTAAAAAATTGTTCAAACTCAGGTGTGAGTCTAGTAAAGCTCAGGTAAAAATATCCTTCTCACCGTTTTAGTTCTATCTTTGGGTGATTTGGTACTTTGCATGAGTCCTACGGTACGTTAGTGATGCTCGTAAAAAAAAAAGTGACGCTTTTTTACGGACTCTTTTCTAACATCAGGAAGCGATTTGCCCAAAGAACGTGACTAGAAAATGGCCAGAACTGAACAGCCTTGTAATCTGTTTAGGGTAATTCATCAGCAGTTATCTTTCCTTTGCAACTGGCTTTTGTGGTTTACATATAGAACAGAACAAGACGGAAATTCGCCGTGTCCATGGGAGTAGAGGTGGGGTTTGAACCTTGCCTTTAGCACTGCAGTGGTTGTACAGAGGGCTCAGAGCTGCCTTCGAGGAGAAGCCAACGGTTCTTCAAGCAGAGTAAATGCTTCGGGGTAGGATGCAGAAGCGCGGCTGGCTGAATAGCGTGGAGGCACTCCTCCCAAGTATAAGGACCCCTTAGGGATCCTTACAAGCTGTTCAGCTAAAAGTTGTCTGAACCTGTAATGAATTATACGTTAGCTACTTGGCTCAGAGGTGATGTTGCAAGACCTAACAGTGTCTTGGGGTGCGTTTTCTGTGTCTGGCAAGAGCACGTGGTCCAGTCTGACCCATATATCCTTTTTCTACCATCCACGAAGTGACCTGCTTCTCTTCCAAAGTTATAAGGCTCAGATTTAAATGGGAGAAAAAGCAGCAGGCCAGAGAGCTAGTTCCTGTTGGAAACCGAATCCAAAGAGACCTTAAGGACTTCCAAGGGTTTACAAAAAGGAGCTACATTGCAATAGGCAGATGTTTTCCATATGTTGTTCAAGTGAAACTTAAATATATTTGAGTCAGGCATGTACAGCAATATGAAGTTATATATTTTGGTATGAGCCTGGGCTTCAAATTGAATTATGCACAGACATCTTAAGAAAATGTGTGAGAGAAGGTTTTGCATATCTTTGTCTGTCTGCAGTTGACTCTCTCTGGCTCCTTTCTATTCCTGGAAATGGCATCCTTAACTATTTATGTTCAAATTTGCTGTCATGCATATTTAGTTCTCTTAACCAACTATTCTTTCCATATGCTGCTTATTTAATTTGAAAGCCTGAATCTCAACAAAGGGGAAATACAGCTTTTATGTGCTTTCTAGCCTTCTTTTTTGGTTTTGGGGTTTTTTTTTGGTGGTTGTTTTGGGTTTTTTTTGTAAATTTAAATCACGCTTAGTTTGCTCTAGGACTCAACAGAGGATCATCCAAACCTGAAAGCTCATTAAGCAGCCTTCTCATGATATTGTACTTGAGAATGAAAATTATAATTAATAGGATTTTCTTTTTTTTTTTTTACACTTATGTTGTTATACCTGCAATAATTCATTCTATTTAAGTTATTTATTTGTCTTCTTGGCCCAGTATGTATTTTTCCATGGTGTGTTTTATGCCTCCCTGGTTTTGTACTCATGGTTCTTTAAAAACTGGTGTCTCCAGGTTTGTGCTGATTTTCTACGTCTCTCTCTCGCGCGCTATAGGATGTGGGCATACAGTAAGTCACTGGCCTCTCGCTTTCTCTGTTCTCAGGGAACTCGATGCTGCTGCGTGTCCTGCCTGCTCTGTACGAGAAGCAACCGCAGCTGATAAACCTCCATCTGAGGGAGCTGGTGGCACTGATGGCTCAGCTGGATCAAGCCGAACAACACCACCTCCTCAGGCTCCTGCAGATCGTGGCGAGGAAAAAAGAACTTGGGGTAAAACTGTGTTCGGGAGATCTTACTGCTAAATGCTGCACCTCTGTTTGGAGGGGTTTATTTGTTTCAGATGACTTGGCAAGGTCTGTCTGCTAGCTGATCTCTGAACAGTAACGAGTCCCGTAACATGCATGACAGTGCTTTCCTATGCTAATTCCCTGCAAATTCTTTAATTCTATTCCAAATCCTCCGTCTAATCATAAAAAGAACATAACACTGACTCTGCTGGACCAAAAAGTTTGTTTTAAACCAGAACTGTTTTCATTTTTTTTGGCTTTTCCTCCATCAGCTGTATGGAGGAATTCAGTATGAATTCCCATAACTATGTTTCTGTCCATTAGAATATATGAAATATTTAAAATTACTTATCAATGAAAATTAAAGTTAGTTAGGAATTGATTAGAAGTGAGCTGGAGATTAATTATCTAAGATAAAATAGATCATGCTTTGGAAATTACATGTCATAGACAGCACTAAGCGCATTAGAACAAGGCACAAAACTACCTGCTTTGTGAATTTCTGAAATTCATAAAACCTTTGGAAAAGAAGAATCAACAACAGACAGTATCTTCCCCCAGGTAGCCAAGGAAATTTGATCACAGTACACAGTCCCAGGTGAAATAGAGCTCCTTTTGGAAGAAAGGGAATTTGCAGCCGGAAGGGACTGGGGTGCACCGCTGGTTATTGCGGGGCTCCACGCTGGAGGCAACGCATCTGAAGTTGCTTTATATTATTATTATAATTTATTACTACTAACAATTTATTCAGCCACCCACTTGTGGTATTTTGCTAGAGCGACAGGTATCGACTTGCTAAAACTAATAATCCTCAAAAAAATAATAGAAGAATGGGTCACTTCATGCCCCATTTCTGTGTTGAAACATATTTTACACAGATGCAACAGTTTCACTGAATCGGGGTGTATTAGTGTACTTGTGTGTTTACATGAAAAATAATAATTCAGTAGTTAGTTGTATACACTTCATCCTGTTTGTAAGAAGATTTTAAGGACTGCACGCTCAGGCTCTTGAAAATTGTGTTGTTACAAGAAATGACAACTAACTTGCCTTACAGCATTTTTTTGTGCAGTGAGGATCTTGCCTCCTACTTTTTCCTCTGTTCCAGCTATTAAGCTTGTCACGTTATTTAGTTTCCCGTGGAAACTAAAAATTTCTACTAGTTCTTCAATTTACTGTATCATTGGGGAAGGCTAAGTCCTATGTTGTTTTAATCAAAAAGGTATAGGACTGGCCCAGAGCAAGGGAAATATTTGGTGAGGAGGGTTTTTTTTGTCTTTTTTAACAGCTGGGCATTTCCTTACTTATATATGCATAACTGCAATATTTCAAGGCTACAGCTTACCCTTATTCCATATGTTGAGCTGAACTTTGATTGACCTCAGCAATAGCTCTGTGCAAAGGTCAGCAAGGGTGGAAAACTCTTTTACTAAATCAAAGTCTAGTGTTTTGTTTTTATCACTCCAATGTACAGTACCTCTTTTGGTTATACGTATTCACAATTAAAAAATATATCCACAATTTGTTTCTGATTTTTTTAATAGGCCCTGAAAGAATTTGGGCAGTTGAGAGACCCTAACCATAGTGACATTATCCTAAATATACTTATAGAAGTATCTGGCTATGAACCAACAGCCTTAGCCACTTTTCTTCCGATGCTGAAAGAAATTGGTGAGAGTTTTCCAAGTTTGATTGGGCAAACAGCAAAGATCTTTGGAGCTGTTGGACATATCGATGAGGTAAGTTTAAAAACAAAAGTAGTTGGTTGGTTGGCTTTAGGGTTGGGTTGTTTGGGGGGCGGTTCTCTAAATCTTGTGTAAATTAATACATCTAAGTATTCTTTTCTTCAGGAGTAACCAGATTGCCCTACCAGAACATATTCCTGGTCATAAGACCACGATAGGTGTGGACTGTAACACCAGTATGGCTAGGAGAGCAAGTACCACAAAAATCAGATGTGGTATTTTAGTGATTGAGACTGTCCTATCTAACCAAGGAACAGTCACGCAGTCTGCAGAAATGGGGTTTAGGTTAGTGGGAAAGAAAGAAACTTTCTTGAAGAGATTACTGAGCATGAAGAAGAGAAATATTTAAATTCTCATAACTATAAATATATAAACTTAGTATTATTGTTGTTGTTATTTACTGTGCATCTGCTCTGTGCACATATACGTTCTGTTTATACAAAATGTCTTTTTATGGAATGGCTAAAACTCGTATTTGATGAAAGCCCATCATTGTCATGATTCCGGGGGCTTAGCTAAATTATGTTGCAGCGTACCTATATGTGAAATGAAAGGCAGAGAAAAGGAAAAACATATTTTGCACTCCTTTTGTATGATATCATATTTATATACATATAGCCTTCAGGAATGTTGTAATCCTGCAGTGAAATATGAACTTCCTCATATAGTGTAATCCAGATATTTTGGTTTTGTAGCCGTAGTTAACTGGATACTTCTGACAAATGTCTTTGTGATGAAAATGCTCAGTGGTGATGCTGGGCTCAAGCCTCTTCACAGCAACATGTTCACAGTTAACTTGGTTTGGGATCTGACCTAACTGGAACATTTTGCCTAAAAGGACAAACTCCTAAAAAATCACGGGAGTTTCATGGCAGTGTAATGAATTTGCACTGAAGTTTTTGCTTTAGTCATAAAAGTGCAGTCTGGCTGCGGGAGCCATGCTCACCTAATCCAGGTGCCACGAACAGACTCAAACACAGTGTGTAGGTAACCCGTTGGGCAGCTCTCAGTCCCAGAGCTCGCTCCCCTCCCCAGAATGCCAGCTCCAACGAGCAGCTCAAAGATCCCCACGTCCCCAGCAGCGAGGGGTGCTGCTTGTGAAGATCCGATGTTAGCCCTGTCCTGCTGGGACTAGGAAATGCCTTACACCCTGACGAGACGTAGCTTACCCTGCTGCTATCCCCTGCTCCTAAAAATACAGCCTGGAGGAGATCACCACCACGAGCTTGTAAACCACCTGAGTGCTCAAGACCTTGGTTGACCTAAGGACATTGAACTGCTTAGACTTATTTATGACACATCATGATTTTTAATGAGACTTTATTTTCATTCCCAGGTATGAGCTTACGTGTCTTTCACCACTGTTAACAGACAATTTCCTTCCACCTCAAATCATAGTCCTGTAAAGGCAAAAATAATGTTCTGCTGAATTCAAAGAATTTCTGGTGAATAATCCAAATCTTTATGGCTGTGACAAAACTCGATTATATAGCAGAAAATGAATGGTATGTAATAAATCTAACCATTTGCTGAAGTGTGGCATTCATGCCTGCCATACAGTAACCTGAATAATTTATTGCAGTGAAGAGATGAATCCTGCAGTTTCCATGTCTTTTCAGCGATCCTTGAGGCAAAACTTGCACTAAGTCTACTGGAGTTTGTCTGCATAAAGGCTAGAGATTTCACTGTAGGTTTTGCCTTTCTCAATCAGGCCTTGTGGTTGTCCTTCCTTTGACTCCACCGGAGGCCAGTGTGGAGGGAGCAGGGGAGAAAAGTGGCATCGTTTTGCTGTGCAGGGGAAAATCCTCCATATATTCATCTTCTGCCTTTAAGATGACAGTTCTATTTACTTGTTTAGATACAGGTAACGATGTGCTTTCATCAATGATAGTGGTCATTGGAGAATCTCCAGAGAGGCTTTTGCCTCCAGGGAAAATATTTTCTTTTGGCTCTGAATCAAAGTTAGTCTCTTAAATGTGGGGTGTGGGCGTTGTTTGGGGGGTTTGGCTCTGCGCCCTGTACCGCAGCTCGCCGGCAGCTCTTGGTGCGTTTGGGCAACAGCTCTGCTCGATGACGAAGGACTGGCGGTGCAGCTTGAAGCATATCACTTACCCCGGTGTAGGCACGTGGGGCAACCCCATCGTAGGGCATCAGGGTGTGTTATGCCCTGTTACGTGTCGCTGAAGGTAAAACAAGAAACGTGAGAAGCGCGGGGAAGTTAAAGGGGTAATTCTCCTTTGCGCACCCATTTTAATGATTCAGAATTGTCTCAGTGATATTCTTAGATGAGACAGTTGCACTAATTTCAACGGATATTGTGGAGTGGGGGAGCCTGGTGGGAGGCAAGGAGAAGCTGTGTGGGGCAGGAGCAGAGGGTTGGGGTGCAGCCCCTCTGCGTTCCTGTTCGCTGGCACGGGTGGATGTCGTGCAAGTCTTATTTCACTTGTTGCAATAAGTCCGATCCTTTCTCCTTTGGCACTTAGTTTTGAGTTTGTATTGGCTGGGCGACGGGTGCCTGATCGCTGTGGGTACAGCACAGGAAGACACTACACTTGCTGTTTCTGCTCATCTTGAGCTTTATATTCATTTAAAATACAATTTATCTTGTAAGAATCAAAAACAGATTTGGTTTGGCTTTGTAAATCTTATTTCTGGGGGGGAGAGAAGCCAAAATCACATTGAAGACTGTGAGCCAAATGGAGTTTGTTGTTCTCTCCTTGTTTACTTACATCACCCCAGCAAAATTTACCTTAAGAACTGCAGCTGACCCCATTTAGTTCTGTGTTTAGTACTGAAGAGTCAACATCTCATAGAAGCTTTACAGCTTATAACTAGCTAATCCTCAAATGAGCACAGCTGGGGTCAAAATTTAAGGATTTAATTCAGATTCTGTATTTCAGCATGTTGGACCAGCTCTTCCCATGCGAGTGTCTGAGGCCCCTTTTCTGCTGTGTTCTGCTGCTTAAAAGGGACTGAATTTATTTTGCCTGTTGTGGTTTTTATTGTTTTATAGCAATACCAAGAATAAGCAAGGAACCGAGTATTTCATATGTTGTTGGAAATTATAAACTACAGTCAAGTTTACAAAGAAATGATTTGCAGAGCATTTTCTCCTTATATTTTTTTTAATCTGTTGATTTGTGCAGATACACGTAGGCACCAGGTGTTACACATGCAGCCTGGGCAAGCCTGCATCAAATAATCTCCAATCTCTCTCTTGTAAGTGTTGAGTAACTGGCGTTATGTCCCGTGTCATAGGTCTTATTTTTCTAAGAAGCTGCGAGCTGCTGACTTAGCAGCAGCCTGCATTGCAGCCCGCTCCGCTGCCACGAGCGCGGCATGTTTGCAGAGATGGCACGCTTTCCGTCTGTTCGTAGTGGGCTCTGGTGTAGTGACATCTGGGAGACCTTTCGCTAGACACTCATGAACATTGATAAAAGCAACACGCAAAGGATGGCAAAGTGAACTTTCCAACGTAAGACGAATGGCTCCTCTCTTGTTTTGCTTTCTAAAAAGATAGAAAGCATGAATAATTCTGAATTATGGGAGATCCGCCCTGGCCGAAATGTCTAAGTAGTTACCAGTGCTCCAGTGGCTTGATTTTGTTTCTGCAATCACCTTTGAGCCATATCAGTCCATATGAGGCTCCTGACGTCCGTGCCAGGCATGCACAACGCTGTCACCTGGACACAGGTTACACGCCCTGTGAAACCTCACCACTGGATCTTCTCCAGAGGTTGGTCCCACTCCATCCTGTCTCCTTTGTGCTGGGCAAAGGAGCCGGGGTGGCAGAAAGAGGCTCTCAGCGCTGTGCCTCAAGCCAGGGAGAACGCCTCGGTGGGAAAATGAAGGCAAGCTTTCCAGGTGAGGAGAGGTCCATGCACAACATAGGGGAGCTTTGGGGCGGCCTGAGGAGCAAGGAGGTCTCGGGTGCCGTCTGCAGTGTCCTGGTGCCCCAGCCCTGCCCGTGAGCAGTCTGGCAGCTGCCTCTGCCTGCACCGCTGCTGTCTGCTGGAAGACCTGGTGCCTCCTGCCTTTCCTTGGTGGGGCCCACCGTCTGTGTCACTGGTGCTCTCGGAGGGTTTGGATGTGCTTCTGGCAGTGCCACGCTGCCAGTTCAGCTATTCCCTCTGGTATAAATGGTGCAGAAAGAGCCTTAAAATGTGCTTGGGTGATGGCTGGGCGTTGCATGCTGGAGCCAAGGCAAGTCATCTTGGTGACTTTTTTTGCACCTTTGGGTGCAAAACTTCTGCTAGAGTTGCTGGGGGGGCTTAGTTTCCCATTTTCTCCTCATGGAATACTTCTGTTTCATGGGGCTTTTGCCTATTCTGCGATGTGGGTTGCGGTCTGCTGCCCCACGTCACCTGGGCGTTTTCACATAGCAAGTTTCCTCCTCCTTCACAGGCATTATAACTGAGGGTCTTTCTCTTACCTTCTACTTGTGAGTTCTGCGTCTTTACCCTAAGGATTTTTTAATTTTATCTCAGGGAACTTGAGTGCTTTGTGGCCCACAGTTTTGTGGGGGTATGAGGAGCTACTTTGGCAGGATGTGTGTTGGTCCACAAATGCCTGGGGTTGCATCAGACCAGACGTGGTGACCAAAGGGTCCTTGTGGCTCTTGTGTGTTTATTAGCAGAGTGGATCTCTCGTAGTCCTCCTTCTCCCTTGTAAAGGTTTTGTTTGCTTTGCTGCGGCAGTTCCTTGTGCAGATGTTGCCTCCACTGTATCGTGAGCCAAGAGGTGGGTTGTGTCTCTGCATCCTCCCATGCAGATCAGGCTTTTTGAAAGAAAAAAAAATGCCATGGATTTCTCTGATGTATGGGCATCACTCACTGCAGTACAGACAATCAGCCTGCGATAAAAGAAGCAGAAGCACATCTGGCATCATAAAAGCTGGACAGATCTTAAAGACTCAGTATACAACAATGCACCCACAAGAAAGAATTAAAACAATACTCTGATCTATAAGCGTAAGTGCTAAGTTGTGAGGATGACTGCAGCCGGTCAATTTATTTAAGTCAGGTCCAAGTAGAAACGTGCAAGCAGCGAAACGGTCCCTGCAGACACGTGCACTGCTGATGGTCTCGTCTCGCAGCCCACCGTGGCAACGCCTTCCTGAAAGCCTCTGTTGTCACTTCTCCCCCTCTTCCTTTTCTGTAACGCGGAGCCGTGTTACAGATATGCTGCTGGTTCTTATAGACGTGAATCGGCATCGGCATCCCCTTCCCGGCCAAGCAAAACAAGCGGGAAATGAAACAGCGGTTGTAGTGTTGGAATTTTATTTATTGATGTTTTATTTTACTGGGAGGCTTACTTGGGGAAAAGAGGTGGCAGGGATTGGGGCTTGGCCCTTTGTGGTACGGATCGCAGATGTGAGCAGCAAATCCTTTGTGCTGGCTTCTAGAAGCAATCTCTTGTGCCTTCGCTGAACTGCTCTCTCCACCTTGGCAGTTCAGACAGACCCCTGGGGAGATGAGAGGTTTGGCTGAAGAGAGATCCCTTTATTTTAGAGGTTGCCCCGTTGTTTATACAGGCCACTTCTGTTGATGTCAGTGACGGTCTCATGGGTGAAGTTGAAATCGGAACTTGTCCCTTAACCATAAATTTGTGCAAGGCAAAACACTATCCTGGCGCATAGGTCAATGGAATATTTTAATATGTTTTTTCCCAATAACTGTAAGTTTTGAACCAACTAGAAATCTGAGTTACTTCTGAGAGCCTTGTGATCTCTTTTTGTAGTCTTCTGATTTTAAGATAAAGTAAAATACTTTGCCACACCTCATTGCTTGAATTTTAGATCTTCACCTACTGGCAGATGTAATGTAAGGGATGATTGTGGAAAAAAAAAATACATTAATACATAAAATAAGCATCGCTAAAATAACAGTGGCTTATGTACATCCAAATAGGCTTTCTGAAAAAAAAATTAATAAAAATTGCGGCGGGGATAATGACTGCTTTCATGTTGAGCTGTTTTGCTGTAATTTTATTTTGTATAACAGTTACATATTCTATTACTCAGTAGAGTTTATTGTTCTTTTACTTCACTCCAGGCGAGTAGCAGCATTTCAGCATGGCTGGAGACACTCCAGCTGGATCAAAGTGACACGAAAATGGTCAAAACTTCTCTTCCAGTTATGTCTGCTGCACAGTTTGTTTAGGAAACAAAAATGCGTTTTAAATGTTAATTGAGCCTGTGTTTATCTCTTGGAGGGAGGATCATCTTCCAAATAAACTAGTGAATATGTACCAAACAGTCATCCTCCTTCAAGCCATTGAGAAAAAAGCTCATTCCGTCACCCCATCCCAGCCCATCCGAGGATGTAGCTGTAGTTTTTCCCCATATGGCTGAAGGGAAGCAATTTGTCTGATACGCTTTTCTCATTTATCTCTGTCAGGACATGGTGTAGCAGATCCCCTTTTGTTTGAAATAAGTTGACTTTTTCTTCAAAAAATGTCTTGCTTGTGATGCTCAGGCCATGTTCTGCCAAAGTCCCCCATGTATTTTTATGGCCCAGCTGTATTTGTAATCAAACTTTTAGCAGTTTTTCGCTCGAGTTATGAGGTCCCAGAAGAGAAGAGGTAATAATGCTGTTGCCCCGCAGCGTTTGGAGTATGTGTATGGCACACGACTTCCCCTCCTTTTCTGCTAACCTTGGGAAGAAGAGAATTTTTTATTTTTGCCTTTGCTTGCCTTTCAGCACAGGGTCTAAAAGCAAAATATCTGCAAATTTCTGTAACAATCTGCTGAGTGCCAAGGGGGTTTCACTGGGTAGAGCCATACCCGGTTACTCCAGTGGAGGACCTGATATGAGCTCCTGAGTTAATTGCTGCTTTCTCTGCTGCTTTTCCCACTTAAATACTTTTAGGAATGTGGAACCTGATATGCTTAGGACAAAACAGAGGAACCCTAATGCATTTCTTCACCTTTGGGGTTTCTGTTTTAGTATGTGAATTTGTACACGTACATACAGAAATAGTTGGAACTGGAATCGTGTGCCCTTGCCAAGCAGAGATGATAAAGTATCTTTGCTAGAAAATATTTGCATGTTTAATATTATGATCTGAAACATCCCCTTTAATCCTAATTTGTGGGGGATGTGATCTTGCTGATAAATGGGCGAGATCACATCCCCCTGAAAAATTGGCTAGCAAAACTTTGGCTACAGAGGGCATATCAGACTTCAGTGCGTTGGCAGTGATTGATACAGCTGCCAGACGGCACCTTATCGCGCGTGATGAGATCTTACAACGAAATCTCATTTTAAACTTCTCTTTGTTGCTGCGTTAGTTACGGCTTTAATCTGAGTGTCGCTCCTAAATGAATTGCTATGAAAGGAGAGAACCCCTGTGATTTATGAGATACTTTAACCTCTCGCTGTTAGCGAGAAGAGATGCTGGTAGTCCCCCCGCTCCTGCCCGCTGCACCTTTTCCTCTGCCGACACTGTGCCGGAGGAGTCCCGCTCGGTCTGGGTAGCACTGGTGACGACAGGCTCTTAGGTGACGCTGCTAAATACAGCGATTCAGCGACACCCAGCAGGTCCGGAAGGGGAGTTGTGTTTGGGAAGCGTTTTATGTTCTGAAAAATAGATCTTCACTCCTGGCAAAGTATACGTAACAGCTATTGGCATATGCAGGATTCACGGCAATTGCCTGGCAACCCTTGATTATTTGCAGTTATGAGTGGAGAGTAACATGGACAAAGCACAGTTCTGGATGTTGGCCCATTAATACAAAGAGGCAGTAACGAAGACACAAAACTGCAGTCGGTTATGGGTCGTGCAGTGCCACAAAGCAGTGCAGACCTGAGCCGTGGGGTCTGCTCCAGGCTGAGCCGAAGTCTCCCAGCAGGTTGTAACACGTTTGTGTCCGTGCTAATACCTGCGTGAGCTCCATGTGCAACCGGCCAGGTACGGACACGAGGAAAAAGACCCTGGGGGAGAAGACCCTGTGAACTGGAGCAGCATGCGTGAGTGCTTGGCCCCTTGCAAGAGAGTTTGCCTGCCACAAACAGCACAGAATAAAGCAAAAAATGGTATGGAAACTGGGTACAGGGTGGTGGAATAGCTTGGCAAGGCTCATCAAAGATGAAAGGGGAGCTAGGTCTGCTGGTGGTGCTCTGATCACTGAACCAGCCTGATCTACCACCCTAGAGCAACGCAGGGCCTTCCAAAGAGTCTTTATGGACTCTAACTTTAAGTTTGAGGAGGAGACAAGGTGTACTGAAGTTAGGCAACATCAAGAAGAATAAATGTAACATCGATAGTACACAAAAATAAACTCTGTGTTCGAAGCAGTTGCCTTTTTGTTAGTTATTGCGAGGTAGCCACTATTCCCCAATGACGATGTGCAGCATGCACACAAACCTCCCTTGCACAAGCAAATAATGAAATAATTTGTTTTTATCTCCTTGTGTTCTCCAGGAGCGAGCCAGAATATGCCTGATATATTTGGTGAACCAGCTGGCCAACATGGAGCACTCATTTCACCATATTCTTTTGCTGGAAATTAAGAGTCTCACTGACACCTTCTCGAGCATCTTGGGCACCCAGAGCAGAGATATCTACCGCATGAGCAACAGTTTCACCGCTATAGCCAAGCTCCTTGTCCGACAGCTGGAGAATGACAATGTGTCCGGAGCCAGGTAAAGCTAGTTTTTGTATGACAAAGCCACAGCCATCTCTGTAGCTGTGTGAGGCAGTATAAGTTTATATTAGATGTGTTCAAGCTGTGACGAATGAACAATCACCTGAAAGCAAGATGTACTGCGGTTCCTATAAGTTGCTACATTACAATTTTCAAATCAATCTGGGTATCCCTCTTGTATTGTTCTAGTATATACTCACTCAGACGTTGGATTGTGTAATTTATAGGGTCAGGTAAGTGTAGAAAATAGTTTACAGATTTGTAGAAGTAACTTGAGGTATGCGTTGCAGATGCAAGCGTAAGGGCGATTAACACTACAGCAGAAATCTGTAATTAAAGGGTGGCAGTAAGAGCTGTAGGGGCACTGCAGACACCAGCTTCATGCCAACAGGCAGGATGACCTCTGAACATCATACAACACAAATTTCGTCATTCGGCACTGAAGAATAAAGAAGCTGTTCAAGTTTTAGCACTTAAAGAATAGGAAGAAAGCCATGTCTCAGATAAGCAGACTAAGGCAACCAAAAAAGGTTCAGTTAAAAATAAATCAGTGAAGTCAGGCTATATAATTATCATTGAGTTTATTCTAGAAGATAACCACTGAAGCTGATGAGAACAACAACTGGCGTAGCTCCCTGATAAAGGTTTGCTAAAAAAGTCTGAAAAAAATTTCTCAAGCCTTGTATAAAAAGATGTTCCGCTCAGCTTCTTTTAAATGTGTATCCTAAAGTTAAAGCATTGGGAGCGTTGCTGCATTCGTCACAGTAAGAATTTAAGTGTTATTTAAATATATGGTGGTAGTCACTTTTAATTAGGGAGAGACTTATAATTAGCATTGTGTATACTGAATTAGGTCAAGAGGGCACAAATGAAGAGTAATTCTGTGATAAAATTTAACACAGATGTCAGAAAACTCATAACCATGAAGGATAGCCTTGGAGACAGACTTGTCGAGTTGGAGCCAAAACATTGAGGTCATTCGAGAAACAATTAATTGGTATCCTGGAGAGAGTTAAAAATGAAAAAGGAGAGGAATCCTGATGTAGTCCCTCATTTTACAACAAGGCTGTAAGAAGCATCTGAACTTCACCTGGTGGCAGAAACCTCTGCTGAAATTGAGCCCTCGACACTCGTTTTATGAAAAGTTTCATTGAAGACAGTGAAAAAGCCTAAGTGGAGATAGCAAAGTGAGCACGAAATGATACATGTGTTTTCCAAATTAGTCAAGTTCAATTGTGGAGAAGAGCATGCCAGATGTCACTTAGTGAAGAGGACCAGAAGGATATCACGTATTCTGGGAACTTATAATTAATAATCATAATTCCCCCAGCCCATCATGGTCCCTTGATTTATGGTAGAAAAATTACTTTATTTGCTAAAATACTTTGATATTCCTATTCCTTATTGTCTTCTGTGCTTAACGTTTATCTCTAGAGTTGATTAAAAAAACAGTAAAAAACAAGAAAAGGTTTTCATTCAAATGTTGTTGCCATGTTTCCCTATTTCTCTCTAAAATTCCCCTTTATTAAGGACTTGCTTTGCTGAGGATTCAAAGATACATAGGGACAGGCGATGGAAAATGAACCCACCTTGTCCCAAGGCTGCAGTGTAGACGCTGAGAGATTACTCTGGTTTAAGGAAGGGCACAGTTTGGCTTTATGTCTGCAGTGTGAGGAACTTAAAACAGACATTCCTCCACACTGGGGTTTTGTTGTTGTTGTTGTTATCAATTTTTAACATTTCTGTGGATAAATTGCACCTTTTATGAGACAGGACAGTCCCTGTGATACAGCCGTGCTCGCCACAAGGCGGGTGTGAGCATAGCCAGAAGCGATGGGAACTAAAACCTGTTCCTGGTGCCCCACTGGGTAAGGACCAGTGTCCTGGGACGTGTCTGGCTGCTGTGGGGTCTGCCCCGCGCACAGCAGTGACGAGACCTGGACCCTTTCAAACAAACCTTTCTGAAATTATTCCTTATTCTCCATCTGCTGCTTGATTTTTTTTTTTAATTATTATTTTATTTTTTTCCTGCTTCATCTGCCTAATCTTCTGTAACCCTGGTTCCTTGTACGCTTGCAGCTGCCATCGTCTTATCTCAACGTGGCTATGAGTGATCAGAGTGAAACACTGATTTTTTTTCACAATTAAAATTTTTAGGTATTCTTCAGGTTTACACTTCAGGCCTGAGTCAAACATAGTATCAGCTAGATCAGACAAGAGCAAGTATGAAGCAGCGGTTAAGGCTAAAATGAGAGTTCTCCACTGATTTTAAGTGGATTTTATTCTGACTTGTACTAGTCTAAGCGGGACTAGTCCAGACGTTGACATGGAAATACCCTCCTCGCTCCAGAGCTGCTGCAGTTACTGAACTGCAGTGTTTTTTAAAGAGCGGCAATCCAGAGTATTTATGCTGTGAAAGAAAAACAGAATTTTAAAATGTGTGGCTGGATTATAACCATTCCTTCCAGAATCATGTGTTTATATAAGAAGAAACTGATTTCTTCAGAGCAATAGCTGGCTTGGAGTTGTTTGACACAGGGAATTTTACATGCAGTTAGTGGAGGGTATAATTAAAACCATGCGATGCTCTGTTGCCCCGTACTGTCACAAAATTTCAAGTTAGTCTGTCTCAGAGGTGCTTTATAAGAACACATACAGAGTTTTAATGGACTGATCCAACATAGAAGTATAGCATGGTCAATCAAAAGAAGGCAAGAAAGGAAAGAAAGCAAGCAAATTTAATGGGCAAGGACTGAGCATAACAGGCTATACAGTGCTAGTCATGTCAGTGTAGTGGCTGGATGAAATTATCTTTTCTCCTCAAAGGAGAGGATAGGTCTACCGCATGGCATCATTGAGCATTCATTTACTTTTCATTTTCTACACTATTTGTCCTTCTTTAAATCAGCACTTGTAGTGGTGAAGAGGGCATCTAAGACTTTCCTACGTTGGTAAGGGCCTATGGTGCAATTTATTTCAGTGCAGGAGAAGTCTGTCCGCATGAAGCGTGCACTCCCCTTGCAGCTCCATGTCCTGCCTGGCCCCCGGGAGCAGCAGCCCCGCAGGCAGGCCGGGCAGCACGACCCGCTGCCTGCTGCCTGCATCCGCCAGCATCAGCTATCAAAACGTCCTGGCCTCGCCCATCAGTACCTGCAAGCGTGGAGGCTGGGAGCGGCACCGCATGTGATGTGCCGGAGGATGCAGCCACAGGGAGCTGGAGGCACCTCTGCCTTGAACGTTATCTGGCTGATGAAGTTTCTGTAGTCGGTTACTAGCGATATTTGGAAGCTCTTGATGAGCTTCCCAACCATGAGCTGGAGGTTTTGAGATCCCCATCGCTCTCTACCGCTTGCCTTCTTCAAACCTGCCCGTCCATCATATTTGAGGAGGTGATTACATCTGTACATTGATGAACCACAAGGACCTGCGCTTGATCCATTCGTGTTGCCTCCATCCACACTGAGTTGAAGCCCTGGAAGCAATCCCATCTTGAGTGTATTTTTAGCAATTTCTATTTGTGTATGCTCTTTTTTCCAATTTAAGCACCTGACTGGTGATGTTGATAATGGTGCTGGTGGTCTGGAGAAATGCTCTTCAAATTCATGTATCACTCTTGACTTGCTGACTTGTATATTTAGATCTCTTTCTACAGAGAATTGAAAAGCAGTGAACTGGTGAGTAGCATAGCACTGTCTTTGCAAGCAAGGTCCTTACGATTTCTCGATGGTGCATCCTTTTCCTCTCAAAAACAGCCTGAGCTTTGGTGTAAGCTGATCCTGCTCCAGCAACCTCAGCAATGTACCGAATGTCTCTTGCCAAGATTTCAAACAATAGCTTATTTTACTGTTGCTGGAAGGGGAGGCCAGCGGGAAGGCCTGCCAGGCGTCCCGTTGGGCGTGGGGTGGAGGCTTCATTGAACACTTCACTTGGGGTGTGTGCTTTTGGCTTCCTGGGAATTGATGCGAGCGCAAAGCAGGTACATGTGGGAGCAAGTGGTCCGTGGGGGCATGCCCAGGGCCGAGCGCCCTGCCTCCTTCCCGCGGCACGTGCAGTCACTCCGAAATCCCGGGCACGCGCAGGGTCAGAACCGAGGTGGTGGTCTCAGGAGCACCGGGCAGCGATCAGCCCTGTATGCACTAACTTACTGCTGCTTCACGTATGCCAAATAGGATTCATTAATGTATTTCTTTAGCAGAAGCGTTTTCTTTTATTTTCTTCACAAAGCCATCAGAGCTCAACAGGAGAATGCTGGACAAAAAGGTGCTGTTATAAAAGGCTGGTTTTATTTCCAAACATGATCGAGGCTTTCTGATTTAGGTCTGTCATTCATAAACCCCATCGGTCCATCAATCCCCGCTCTGTAGCCAGAGGGCTTTATTGCTATATACGTATGGAACAGACTTTTTTCTCGGTGCTTAGCTCCCACAATGGGAACAGTGTTGATAGTTACGCTGGAGTGACAGCTTTCTAATAAATTAAATCTTGTCCCACATCTCCAGAAAGATTTGTTAGTAAAGGTCATGCCAAGGTTCTTTATTACAGAAGAATATTCTTTTTCCTAAGTGTTCTGCAGTGTTAATATATTATGAGATCTTGCTTAAATTTAAAACAAAACAAGACAAAACTTGCCAACTCCCCTGAGAAATATCCAGAACTGCCTTTATCAAAACACATGAAAAAGTGCATTTTTGTGATGCAGTATTTGTGGGGATTTTTTTAAACATGCTTTGTTTCCACAATTGGTAATTTGCAGTATTTGGGAGTTTTTAATAGGCTTCCCGACTGTGAGCATGACTTGTTGAGAGTCTGCTGCTTTGAAAGTACTGTGTTAAAACTCTCGTTTGTGGCTTTCCATATCCATATTTTACAGATTTAGATATTCAGATATTTGCTCATCAGGGGGGAAAAAAAACAACAGCAAAAAAATGCTCAGAAGCAAAATGATCTTGTTTTAGAGCTGTGGGTAGAGTTTAAAAAGAAAATATTGTCAAATACCGCTTAATTCTCCAAGAGATTTCTGATTGGGTTTGTACTGCCTTCATGATTTTTTGGCTCCAGTTACTCCATAGTTGCAGGATTAAGACGGGAACGTATAAATCCCCAGCAGAAGGCACGTCCCTGAAGAAGAGGGGAAGGAGCAACAGTGCTTTTGGCACAGCACGCTGTTGATCCCCGGGGAAATTCAGTCCTGCTGCTGCGTAAGGGCCAAGCAGCATCTCCAAGGGAGCGTGCGGATATCCAAGGTTTAGGCTTCGGGCGAATCACAGAATCATTAAGGTTGGAAATGACCTTTAAGGTCATCAAGTCCAACCAGCAACTCAACACCACCATGCCCACTAAACCATGTCCCGAAGTGCCACGTCCACATGTTTTTTGAACACTTCCAGAGATGGCGACTCCACCACCTCCCTGGGCAGCCTGTGCCAATGCCTGACCACCCTCTCGGTGAAGAAATTTTTCCTAATATCCAATCTAAACCTCCCCTGGCACAACTTAAGGCCATTTCCTCTTGTCCTATCGCTGGTTACTTGGGAGAAGAGACCAACACCCACCTCACCACAACCCCCTTTCAGGTAGTTGTAGAGAGCGATAAGGTCTCCCCTCAGCCTCCTCTTCTCCAGACTGAACACCCCCAGTTCCCTCAGCCGCTCCCCATCAGACTTGTGCTCCAGACCCCTCCCCAGCTCCGTTGCCCTTCTCTGGACACGCTCCAGCATCTCAATGTCCTTCTTGTAGTGAGGGGCCCAACACTGAACACAGGATTCGAGGTGCCAGTGCCACCAGGGCTGAGCACAGGGCACGATCCCTGCCCTGCTCCTGCTGGCCACACCAGTGCTGATACAGGCCAGAAATGGCCCAATATTCGGAGGAGCCGAGTCTCGCCGCAGGCTGTGAGCTGTGTAGGAACCCAGTGAACTCTGTTGTCAGGAGCCCTGTTTTGGGGAATCCAGCACTCAGACTAAAAACCTTAATCTAGGAAACCTGGTGTTGGGTAGGAAAAGGGCTGCGCTGGAGTAGGGAGTGACACCGGTGTGCCGGCCCTTGCCCGGGGCTGGGGTGGTGGATCTTTCATCCTGGGACCCTTCCGCAGAGGGTTCCGCTGTGCCGTAGGGCTTTGGCTGGTAGCGACTGCTGCCCCGCGGCAGCACTGCCGGGCCTCCGTGAAGACAAGGGTTTTCGCTGGTCAGAGGATAGAAAGCATTACTAGAAAGCAAATTTTTACTAGCGGTATATCCGACAGCAGATTTCTTTTTGTCCTTTAAGATTAACAGCTTCTCTCCAATTTGGTTTAAAGTTATCTTTCAATTTTGCATGGAAAGATTACATATGCTAAGAGTAATGTAACAATCAATTTAAAATAAAACAGGTTATCCTGAAGTCCTACAAGTTTATTTTAACTCTTAATTTTCTATTTCTTTTTTTCCTGAACTTCAGTCATGTTGCTTCGAACTTTTTCTGAGCCTGTTTCTGTCCATGTGCTGAGATTTAAAAGATATTTTTCTTACCCAGAGTACAATAATTTGGAAGGAACTGCATATACTTTTGTCAAACTTTTAAAACCACAAACTTGTATAAACTCTGCAATTAGCTCTACTTTTGGTTTATGAAAATAATGTAATAAGTCACTGTAGCAAGCTTGAGAGAATGGTTTAAGTTCAGTTGAAAAATTTTTGCTATGGGACTGTTGGGGAAAGA